TATAAGATATACATTGGTTTACAAAGATTTGGTATTAAAAAGAGAAAAAATATGATCATTAGTACTTTTAAAATATTGATTACATGCTGAAATGATAGCATTTTGCCTATATCAAGTAAATATGTTACTATAATTAGCTATTTATTTTTTATTTATGTATTTTTGGGGGGTTTTTTTGAGACCGGGTCTCACTATGTAGTTGAGACCGACCTGGAACTCACTATGTAGCCCAGGCTGGTCTCGAACTCACAGCGATCCTCCTGCCTCAGTCTCCCAAGTGCTGGGATTACAGGCATGCGCCACCACACCCTGCAGCCAGCTATTTATTTTTTATGTTCTTAATGTAAAAAATATAAAATTGTATATATGTGGCTTATTGTGTATTTTCTGTGAATCTTGCTGCTCCAGACATTGAACTTAGTGTCACTTCTTTTGAACCAGAGTTTTATTCCCTGTCCTCAGAATATTTCATATCATTTTATGTCTCATATTCTTTTCTCTCCTTGAAATATTTTTCCTTTTTCCTCTTCCAGATTAGGTAAGATTCTTATTTTTTGTTCAGCTCAAATACCTCCTATACTATAATGAAACTTTTCCAAAACCTTGATGCAGAATTAAACATTTCTGCCTCAGAGACTTATATGCTCTGCTAATGCCTTTATTATTAGCTAATTCACAGGCTTGTATTTTGTTTCATATTCATTTGTCTCTCCAGCATGATTGTAGGCTTCTGCAAGTACAGGTACAATCTGATTTATATGTCTAATTATGGAAGTGACAATTATAGGCATGGATTATTTACTAGACCTGAGGTTGGTCAATAAAGATCTGGAGAATAACAAGCAAGTTTATACATATTAAATAGCTACTGTGTGACGGGCTAGGACTTAGATATTTTACAGATAGTATCTTGAATTCTCTCAGCCCTACAAGCTAGATTATCCTGCATTTTGGAATCTTGTAAAAGCTCAAATTATTCATAAGTGATACAGCCAGGGTTTCACTAAACTGTAAAACTCTGTGGTTCTATGTATGCTTAAAAGTGGATTTTTAAAATGGAAGTCACATGTTGTGATGCCAGGCTTCTGAGAAATAAATTTAAGCAAGTGAAATGTGAAGATATGATGTAAAGGAACTGTTTGGATAAGGAAAATCACTCTGCTGAGAGATCCCTGTAATCTTGAAAAATTAATACTAAGAAATTTCACATATTATGAATATGTGTTGTTGATTTCTGACCAAACATACAGATAAGTGCTAAGTAGGGCCACAATTTCCACTACTTTACACTTGATCTTAGCCAAAAGGCCAAGAAGCGATAATTTCCACTACTTTAAAAACTCTCAAATTGTCTACTAAATGTTTTAAAATTTCTTCTCATCCATTACAGAGCAAAACTGTAATTTAGGGAATTATTATTATTATTATTATTATTATTAATTTGGCAGTACTGGGGATTGAACCTAGGGCCTTTGAACTGAGGCACACCTCTAGCCCTTTTAAAAATATTTTATTTCAAGACATAGTGTCATTGTTACTTGCCCAGGCTGGGCTCCAATTTATAATCCTCCAGCCCATTTTTTAATCTTTTGCTTTGAGACATAATCTCACTAAGTCACTAAATTTTTTGCCCCAACTGGGCTCCAATTTATAATCCTCTTTCCTCAGCCTCCCAGAGTGCTGGGACAATAGGCATATATCACCATGCTCAAGTGGGAACTTGTCTTAGTTACTGTCCTTGTCACTGAGACATCTACGAAAGAGAATGAGAAGTTTTCTGTTCACAGTTTCAGAAGTTTCAGTCCATGGCTGGAAAGCTCTAGGTTGATACAGCATGGGGTAAGGGTAGAGGACAACTAGCTTCTCGTCCTATGACAACTAGAAAACAGGGAAAGAAGTGAGGCGTCAGGGAGATACACCCTTCCAGGTTTATGGTCCAGTGACTCCCCTCTCTTGACCAAGCTCCATCTCTTCACAGCATATTCAGCACATTCAATATAGTAGTGCACGATCCTATCACCACCCAAACTCAAGAGGCTTTTAGGGGACACCTCAGATCTAAATCATACTACATCTTAACTTTTCTATACTTATTCATGACCATCACATATCAGGTTGTTGGTATCCATTTGTTGTAAGATGGAAAGTGCTGTATATAATGGCATTGTAAGAAAAGAAAGTGTTGGACTCATTCTAGGATCTAATTGTGTTTGAGATTCCTGCAGTTGTCTCAAGTGCGCTCCCCTGACCTGGACCGTGTAGTGAGATCTCGGTACATACCTCCACTCACTTCTTGGAAGAGATGTGTCCTTGTGGAATGGCTAGAAAATAGGATTGTTCTGCTAGTTGGAGGCTTGTGTGATTCGACGGGGTAAAGGAGACCCAGCCAGGGACATTGAGCTTTATGACAGCTCCGTCTTTTCAGAAGGTCCTTCTCCAGGTCCTGTCCCCAAACTGAGCAGGACAGTATTTCCCAGGTGAGGGACCCACCCCACAGTCATTCATATTGGACTTGTATAATTGACATGGAGATTCCAACTTGAGTGGAGAGCACAAGAAGTTGTAAGAAAGAATTCCTTAAAGAGAAAATTTGGAGTATGCAGGAAGCTGAATATTTTTTAGCACTTGCTTATACTTTGAGATTAAGAAGACAACTTCAAATTTAGTGCGAATTTTTACATCTGATATTATAAAAAGAAAGACACCTTATGGCTAAGAAAATGTAAAATAAGAATGGCAATCATTTGGCTGCTCCAGAAAGTTTAAACTATATAGAAAAATAAATAATATCTTTGAATTTTAAAGGAAAAAATTCTAGTTGACTTACCTGCCAGATTGTCTTTTCCCCAACGGCATGAATAGCCAGTACTTTGGGATTCAATCCACTTAAAGTGTCATAAATTCTGACAACTGAGTTTCACACAGGTTTTCTTTATTTAATGTTGAGCCTGGGCATGTAGTCTGGGAAGCTGAGTGGACTCTGGCTCTTCTCATCCCTTCTCTTTCTCCTTAGTAGTGAGTGGACTCTGGCTCTTCTCATCCCTTCTCTTTCTCCTTAGTAGTTGGTCAGCGTCAACAGACTTCTCAGAAGTGATGCCTCTCTACCCACACCAAAACAACATGCTCTCAAAATCAGAGATCCCAGGGGTGAATTGGGAGTTTAATGAAAATTCTTCCATTTTCCTTAGTCTGAGAAAAGCCTTGTTTCAACTTAAAATGCACTTTACTGTTTGCAAGCATAAACAGAGAAAAATTTAGGTCAAATGAGATTTTTAAAGTAGCGATTATTCCTTAACACAATATTCGGAAGTCCTCTGTAGCATAGATTAAATATACATGTATGTATATAAATATTGGAAGGAAATACACCAAAAATTAATGTAAAATTATAAATAAATAGTTTTAAAATGTCTTTGTATATGACCTTTTAATGTATGATAAATATACTTAGGTGAACATAAATATCAGGTAAAGATATACCATTTTGATGGAGAAATTTAGCATTATAAAAAAAAGCAGTTGAAATGCTGAGCAATTGAAATTCTGTTGGTCTGTCACCATGCCACAGGGCCAGAAGCCCGAGACACCCTAACAGCTGTATCAGTGTGAGTGAGGAGATGAATTTGCGTAGGCCAGGTAGTTTGTTGGGATCAGGCTCCTTTCCTGTGATGCGGAGGTTCGAGTGCCATGGTTCCATCCAGTTCTAAGATGCCCGAGTTCTGTTATCAACTTGCCACACAGTAGGCTGCATTAATTGAAAATACTCCAGCTTTGAGTAACAGAAGTCTTGACTAAGAGTGGCTTAATCATAAAATACCTCTCACTTTTGAGTAGACAGACTACTTGCATAGGTAGTCCAGAATGGATCTGCTCAGTGAGGTTATCTAGCAAGCAAGCTCTTCTCCATGTTCTGCATAGTCCCTTTCATCTCTTGGCTTAATCCTAGAGATTATTATTATTATTATTATTATTATTATTATTATTATTATTATTTTGATACTAAGGATTGAACTTGGGTCCTTGGGCTTGCAAGGCAGGCCACTGAACTGCTGAGCTAAATCCCCGGCCCCTAATCCTAGAGAATATTGTGTCATGGATACAAGACAATTACAACATCTATATGTCGGACAGAAGAGGCAGAGAGGAAAGTCTTTTTCTGTATGTCCAGTAAGATTCCATCTCGTTTGTCAGAACTGTCACATGACCAACCCAGACTAATTAATGGCAATGGGAAAGGAGATCTCACTCTTGCATTAGAGTAATTTCCATTTATCTTCTACCTTAGAGAGAGGGCAAAGTCCTTAGAGAGCCCATTGACGTGATCAGAGTTCTATCTGCAAAGAAGGGAAGGGGAGAAAAGGTGACCATTGTGAAAGAAATAAAAATTCATCTACCAGGATACTCAACAAAGATTTGTTGAATGAGTGAATGTGGGTTGTCTTATAACTTTCAGAGGTCCTAAAATGTTTGCCTTTATGGTCATTTTCCTCCATATAAATTGTTAGGAAACATATGACTGAGTTGATATAAAGACAGATACAATCAACTGGGTGTGGTGGCACTCACCTGTAATCCCAGCACTTGGGAGGCTGAGGCAGGAGGATCACTGTGAGTTCAAGATGAGCCTGGTCTACATAGTGAGTTCCAGGTAGTCTCAACTATATAGTGAGACTCAAAAAACAAAACAGACAGATGCAATCAAGGTTAAATTTATTATTATGTATTCATCATTATATTTATTTCTATTCTTCTTTTAAAAATTAAAATGAAAGTATTTTCATGGACTCCTAAAAGTTTATGGGTCCCAGACACTGTAATTATTGTGCCTAGTAGATAGTTTGACCCTGAGTCTTATGTTGTCTTTCCAATTGGGCTGTAGAAAACTGAGGTCAGGGACAGTGTATTAAGTTTTCCTGTCATCCTCAAAGCCCTTGTTGCAACACTGTAGATAAAAAAGCAATACTATTGACTTGACCAAACAACACTATTTCTTCTTCTAGGGTGAGCAAGGCCCTCCTGGTCCTTATGGTCCTCCTGGAGCCCCTGGTATCGGACAGCAAGGTATTAAGGTAAAAATGCTTGTGTCTTTGTCCATTGATGACACTGAATTTACTTTAGGGGCTGGGGAACTGTGATTTGAACTCTGTCCATCCTAGCTATAATAGAAATAGGGAATTTTCCCACAGAAATTATTTCCATTTGAGATGCTTAGTGTAATACTGTAGTCAGAGGCAGTTACCATAAGAATAATTAAGCTATTGTTTTTTATTTGAATAGACTGAAAAAATTTGCTTGTCTCCAAGTATGTACCCTTTCAAAAATGTACATGTAGTCTTGTTGAGACTCTGGCTTCTAAACATTAACATGTACATATGTTATTGGGAAGTGAAACACCTTAACACATCAATTACCACTTGCTCACATTAAATAAGCATGGAGGAATAGAAATAATGGCACTGAATGAGTAAATATCAACAGAAAAGTTTATATGGAACTATAAAGTTAGGCTGTATCCCTACTGGGGGGCTGCATCACGCATTATATGAAAGAATAGAACTGCTTTATTTAAATGGCACTTCTCCGTGGTTGGGACAATACGACTTTGATGCAGGACAGAAATAGAGAGCTGTGCAAAACAATGCCACGAACGTTTGACAATACATGCATGGAAAAGATCCATGGAAGGTGAAGTTCACACAGGAAGATTTACTGGAGAAGGGTTTGAAGTTATCAAATAGGAAAGAGCTAAAGGAGAGGTTAAATATGACAGAAAGGGGAGAAGGACGGGGTGGCATTCTAAGGTGGTGGCAGGGAATAGCACAAACGTTGTTAGCCTGCCTGTCTCAGTACCCAAATGAATTGCCACACAGTCCACCTGCCATGACCATCAAGAGCTTGTTAAAGCTGAATGGACTGTGTTACATTTAGACAAGTAGATGACGAATATTTTATGCTTATTTCTTCACTTAAATTCAAACTCAGGTAATTTCTCCTCCTCTAGAATTATTTTAATGTATATGAATATGGAAAGTTTGGCCATTTTACTAATTATCCTTGTTAATTATCCACAGCATTTTGTTTTGAGACAGGGTCTCACTATGATGATAGCTCACTGGAACCACTGAGCTAACCCCCCGGCCCTATACAGAGAATTTCGTAGTGTTTATTCTTCATTCAAAACCTCACATTCTGTGATTTCTTTCTCAGGGAGAAAGAGGCCAAGAAGGAAGAATGGGAGCTCCAGGACCAATTGGAGTTGGTGAGCCGGGACAGCCAGTGAGTAACAAAAATTGCAGACAGAGTAAAAAAGAAAAATATAATTTTATGTGTTCTGTTTAGAATAAATGGTGAAGTGAATTTAGTTTGTATCTTTTTGGGCAGAAGAGACAATGAACATGTAAGGATCAGATCCAAGTATTATTTTTCACAATGTTTAAAATAGCAGTATAAAATGTGTATGTATGTTGTTTTTGACTGGCTATTACTGTAATCTCTTATAATGTTAATTGGCTTGTCTGAGAAGATCAGTTTGTCTGTGTTGAAATTTCCAAGGAGAAAATAGAGCTGGACTAAAGCCTAATGCCTATATGTTACAACGAACTTTCTTGTAACCATGAGAGAAATAACTGAAATTAAGGACCTTACTCATCCAATCCATGACTGTGCACTAAAGCTGGGATTGTTACTGGTATTAAGATAAAGCCTGTTTTATTCACAACTTCTACCTTATGTAGCTTTGAAGCTTGCTATTGTTGGAGAAGAAAAAATTTTCTATCAAAAGAGACGTGAAGAGGAAATGAATAAAATGTGACTACTCTGGTATATGAAGCTTTTTAACTTCTCAGATCGTCATTAGTTTCCTAGGAAAAGAACCTTAGTAGACTCATTGAAGTACAAGTTAAAACAATTGCTGGTCTTCCCATTTAATTTTGCATTATATTGTTCCTCACTTGTAAATATGATCAGGAATGTGTGTGCATGTGCTATACTCTCTGATTGCAGGGGCAGTATTTTTTTTTTTTGAGGATTGAGATTTTTACTAATATCTATATACACTAATTTAAAAAAATAGAGCATCATATGGAGAAAAAAAGACCACCTTGGACTACTAATCTAGAGATTGGTGATCTATACTTAGTTTCCATTAACTAGATAGTGATCTTAAGAGTGAACCACAAACTTTTTGCCCCTCCATTTTAGTTATCTATTGCTGTATAACAACCTACTCAAGATATAGTGCTTTAAAACAATAAGTTGTCATGATTTTGTGGGTTGACTGGGGAGTTCCACACAAAGTGAAATTAGTTGGAGTACAAAAAAGATCAGAAATAAGACAAGGATGTCTGTTTATAGCAGTTATCTTCAGTGGAGTAATAGTAGTTCCAGCCAGCACAAAGAAGAAAAAATAAAAAGGAATTGAGATAAAAAGACAAAAATAAAACTGTTGCTATTGGCAGTTGACATGTTTGTCTCCATAGACAATCTCAAGAAATCTACAAAAACCTCCTAGAATTAACAAGTAAGGTCAGTGTGGTCACAGATTATAAGATCTATTTTATTTTTTATAGTAGTAATAACCATACAGAATTTAACTCAAAAATACAATATCATTTATAATTGCTAAAAATAAAAACTTACGTATAACTGTACCAAAACATATATAGAATTTGTAAAAGCTCCAAAATACTGATGAAATAAATTAAAGACTACTGAATAAGTTTTTTTTATTTCATCAGTATTTTTGGAGCTTTTTTAATTTCTTTTTTTGGGGAGTGGGGAATTACAGGTGTGCACCACCATGTCTGGACTTGTTAAGGACTGTGAAAAGGCTAACATGACAGGTTACTGATAGAAAGAACATTACTAAACCATATGTCTGGCAAAAGACTTGTATCTAAAACATATAAAGAAGTCTCCAAATTGATTACTAAAACATTTCTGCCAGTATACAGTTCTGTATGTCCACATATACAGTGATATATGTGCATCTAGTCAGACTTGATTTCATTTCCTTTCTTCAGCCTCGGATCCCTCCTCTCCCTTCCCTTCCCTCCATCTCTTATTCCCCTAGCCATTTGAAAAAAGAATCTCCCCGCTTCCCATTTATCTTCTGTTTTGCTCCTTATTTATACATATTTTTGAGTTTTTGTTATAAGAAGAACAGTGTGATATTTAAGACTGTGTCTGACTTATTTTAATTAATATTATGGTCTCAATTGGTATCCATTTACCTATGAATAACCTCAAGTGTACCTTTCTTTATAGCAGAATAGTACTCCTTTTTGCACACATTTTCTTTATTCATTTATCTCTCCTTTTTTATTAATTGAGTTTATTGGTACATTTAAGGTATGCAGTACAATTACATTCATTATTGGGATCTTGTACCTTTACATGACAGATCTTAGTTCTCATTTTTCCCCTTGTCTGTGCCCTCCCTTCACCCCCTCCTCCCCTCCTGTTTTACAAACACTTTATTTCTATTTTTTCATTTTGTCATATTTTTTTCTTTTCCCTTATTACCTTTCCCCTACCCTTCCCATTTTCCCTACACCTTTAGCCCTTTTCTTCCTATTTCACATTGTCCATTATATCATTAGGATCTTATGTACTATTACAGTTTATTCACACCAGAGAAACTATTCAGTATTTACACATGTGTAACTTATTTATTTCACTTAGGAGTATATCCTCAATATGTATCCATTTTCATATGAATGAATCTAATTTCTCATTCTTTATGGCTGAGTAGTAGTCCATTTTATAGAAAAACCACATCTTCTTTATCCAGTTTCCAATGGATGGGCAAATGGGCTGTTTCCAAGTTTTAGCTATTACAAACTGTGCTGCTATAAACATTTGTGAGCATATATCACTGTGGTATGATTCTTCTAATTCTTTTGGAAAGATACCCAGCAGGGGATGGCTGGGTCAAATGGAACCTCTATTCCAGCTCTTTGAGGTATCTCCATATTGATTTCCATAGTGGTTGCACCAGTCTGCACTCCCACCAACAATGGAGAAGGGTTTCTTTCTCCCCACAATCCTGCCAACATTTGCTATTGATTGATTTCTTGATAGCAGCCATTCTTTGTGGGGTGAGGTGGAATCTCAGTGTTGTTTTCATCTGCATCTCTCGAAAGACCAGTGATGTGGAACATTTTTTCATATATTTACTTGCTGCTTTTACTTCTTTGTCTGAGAAATATCTGTTCATTTCAGATGCCCTTTAAGAATTCGGTCTTTGTATTTGGGGGGGCTGATTGTTTTGAGTTCTTTATATATTGTCTATAGTAGTCCTTTGTCTGAGGAGCAGCTGGTAAAAACATTTTCCCACATTGTAGGTTGTCTCTTAGTTCTGTTGATGGTTTCTTTTGAGTACAGAAGCTTTTTAATAAGATGAGATGCCACTTGTTGATTCTTTGTGCTAGTTCCCGTGCTACTGAGGATTTGTTCATAAAATTTTTTCCTATGCCAATGTCTTCAAGAGTTCTGCCTAACGTATCTTCCAGCAAGTTTAGTGTTTCTATTTTAATGTTTAGATCCTTAATCCACTTGGATTTTAATTTAGTGCATGGTGAAAGATAAGGGTCCAGTTTTAATCTGTGGCAGGTTGAAATCCAGTTTTTCCATCACCATTTATTAAAGAGGCTATCTTTCCCCCACTGAGGATGGTCAGTTCCTTTGTCAAAGATGAGGTAGCTGAGTACATCCGGATTTATTTTTGTGTCTTCCAGTCTGTTCCACTGATTCTCAGGCCTGTTTCTTTGCCAGTACCATCCTGTTTTTATCGTGGCTTTGTAGTATAGTTTCAAATTGGGAATTGTTATACCCACTGCCACGTGTCTGTTGCCTAGGATGGCTTTTGCTATTGTAGGTCTCTTCTGGTTTCAAATGAATTTTTGGATTCCTTTTTCTAGTTCTTTGAAATATAGTGTTGGAATTTCAATTGGCATTGCATTGAATCTGTATAGCAGTTTTGGTAGTATGGCCATTTTCACTATGTTGATTCTTCCTACCCAGGAGCAAGGGATATCTTTCCATTTTTCTTATATCCTCTTTGATCTCTTTTCTCAGAGAGATAGTTCATTTTTTGGATGCTATTGTGAAAGGAACTGTTGCCCTAATTTCTCTCTCAGTGACTCAGTTGGTATTTGCGTAGAAGAAGGCTACTGATTTTTGAGTGTTCACCTTGTATCCAGCTACTCTACTGAATCTGTCAACTAAGTCTAGAAGTCTTTTGGTGGAGTTTTTTGGGTCTTCATTGTAGAGTATCATATCATCAGCAAATAATGACAGTTTAACTTCTTCCTTTCCTATCTTTATTGCTTTAATTTCTTTCTCTTGTCTTATTGTTATGGCTAATGTTTCCAGAACTATATCGAAGAGGAGTGGTGATAGTGGACATCCTTGTCTTGTTTCTGATTTTAAAGTGAAGGTTTTCAGTTTTTGGCAATTTAATATGATGTTGGCTGTTGGTTTTTCATAGGTGACCTTTATTAAATTGAGATATAGACCATCTATTCCAGTTTTTTGCAGGTTTTTTTTTTATCATGAATGGATGTTAAATTTTGTCAAATGCTTTTTCTGCATCTATTGAGAGGATCATAGGATCATATGGTTTTTGTCCTTGACTCCGTTAATATAGTGTATTACATTTATTGACTTACCTATGTTGAACCATCCTTGCATCCCTGGAATAAATCCGACTAGGTCAGGATGTATGATATTCTTGATGATCCTCTGTATTCTGTTTCCTAGTATTTTATTAAAGATTTTTGCATCTATATTCATTAAGGAGATTGGCCTGTAATTCTCTTTTTTAGTTGTATCTTTCCCTGCTTTGTGAATCAAAGTGATACTTGCTTCCAGGAATGAGTTTGAAAGTATTGTTTCCCTTGAAAAGTTTGAAGAGTAAAGGCAGTAGTTCTTCTCTAAATGTCTTGTAAAATTTAGCAATGGATACATCAGGACCTGGGCTTTTCTTTGTTGGTAAATTTTCAAATTCATTGATTGTAATTGGGGAGTTTAAAATGTTTTTATCTTTTTTGTTCAACTTTGGTAATTCATAAGTATCTAAAAATAGGTCCATTTCTTCTGTGTTTTCCATTTTATTAGAGTACAGGTTCTCAAAGTAGGTATTAATGATCTTCTGGATTTCTCTTGGATCAGTTGTGACCGCCTTTTTCATTCCTGATTGCATGGATCTGAGCCTTTTCTTTCCTTTTTTTTTTATAAGGTTAGCTAAGGGTTTATCGAGTTTATTTATTCTTTCA